TCTGCACTGAGAGCTTAGCAAAATGATAAAATGGGCCCATACCAAGAATGGAATTTCACACTGTTGGAAATAAAAAGATTCTGCAGGCTTCTTCATTTACAGAAGTAAAAACAAATACAAAAACATATGAACAAAAAGGATTGGGAGGCATAATCGCTTTGACTTCTCAATAGCAATCCTGAGATTTAAACATCTGCAAACTCTTTGGATGTTAAATAGCATTTACACAGCCATATGAATGTGCATGTGGAATACTGATCTCATGAAAAATATGGTATTACTATATTGGGAAGACTGAACAATAGGATGGATGTGGGAGGAGAAAAAAAGAGAGCTAGATCTTCATATTTCATGTTGTATAGTCAATAGATAATACCTAGATCTAAAACCAAACAGTAGCAATATAATCATATTATGTATAATTTACCTGAAGTGAAGTAGCAAATAATCAACTTAAAGAAATGAAAGCAGTTGCCTGTGGAAAGACAAAATTGGGGGAGCTTGGGTGGGGGAAAGAATAGGCAGAAAGATCTGTTTTTCTCATAATAAAACTTGTAGAATCTGATATATTCTTTAAACATGTGTATGTATACCTCTGCTAAAAATCAAAAACTAAAATGTAGCAGATAAAACTCTCTAGATAAATCATACTATGGAAAGGGTACTAATTTCTATCAAAGGATATCTGTTATATATCAAAGGACAGGTGCTTCTCAGTTTATATACGCATTTAAATATCGACAAGTACCAGAATGTTCTCTTTTACATGACATGTTCTTTAGGTTGCCATATGTCCTGGTAGTCCCAGTAAAGTCCTATTTTTATATCTCTTGTTCAGGCTAATTATGTAAAGTACCTCGTTTTACTCTCAAAGCATCCTGGTTGGAGAAAATTAGACGGCTACCTTAACACTGCTCTCTCACACCTCTGTACATGTGCACTTGCTATTTGTATTAGTCGGTTTTTATGCTGCTAACAAAGGCATACCCAAGACTGGGTAATATATACAGGAAAGAGATTTAATGGACTCACAGTTCCGCATGGCTGAGGAGGTCCTGCAATCATGGTGAAAGGCAAGGAGGAGCAAGTCACATCTTACGTGGACAGCAACAAGCAAAGAGAGAGCTTGTGCAGGAAAAATCCCCCTTATAAAACCATCAGATCTCATGAGACACATTCATTATCACAAGAACAGTATGGGAAAGACCCAACCCCATGATTCAATTACCTCCCATTAGGTCCCTCCCACAACACATGGGAATTGTGGAAGCTACAATTCAAGATGAGACTTGGGTGGGGACACAGCCAAATCATATCACTATTCTTCTTACCTTGAATTCCCTTTCCCAAATTTCCTGAGAAAAAGAATCCTTCACATTTCTGTTCAAGTTCTACATCCTCACAAAGATTTCCTTGAACTAAAGATTTTTCCGTCCCATTTATTTAACTGTATTACAGCTGTTTATATATTGTCTTCCACTAGAGGATAAGTTCCATGAGAGCAAGGATCATGTCTCTTCATTGCTGACGGTTCAGCACTCAACACGGGCTGCAAAGAGTAATCTATACAATTCTTACTGAATAAATGAAGTTACCATTTATTCTATTATATAACATTTAATTGTTAGATATATATGCTCTAAAAAGCCTTATCCTTATAAAGGATACTGACAGTTCCATTCTTATATGATTTATCTCAACCATAAAAAAATTCTAGGAATAAGTTCATTTCTATTTTCAAACTAAAGAGTGAGAGTTTGTAATTACAAATTCTTCGTTGAGTTTGAATGCCTAATATATAATCTACTTGTCTGTATCTATTTCAGCAGCTAAGATAAATTCACAAATAATCTTAGCATATACATTGTCAGATGAACATGGCAAACAAATAGAATTTGATGTTTTCAATTTGATAATGAAATATGTAAGTGCCTCTCTTCTTTTAAACTGAATTCAGATTTTCATCTTGTCCAGTTTCATGTGAAGGTGAATTGTGGATGGAATTTTTAAGGGGAGTTAGACTAAAACAACTGAAGGTGCATAAAAATATTCCTTTTTTATTCTAAACTACTGTCCTTTAATGCATGTAAAATTCACATGGAGATGTTGAAAAATAAAGATTCCCAGGACTTGGGGTATGTGCGTGTGTGTGTGTGTGTGTGTGTGTGTGTGTATTAGATTTGATATATATTATACTCCAGGTATACATACACACATATTATATATTATGTTAATATATAATATGTTATATAGTATACATACATTTTAATATATTAATATTTATAAGCATAGATATATTTATACCTGCAGTGGATAGCAGGTTGAATTACCTGAGAATTAAGTAGGCTAGAGACTTGGATGTAAAACTAAGTTGCTTTAAAGAAACATAAGTTTTCTTGCATAGTTGAGTACAAGAACTAAGGTTCATTCTCACTTTCATATACAGCTTTGATACTGTACACGAAGCTGAAGAAACACTTTATTTAGAAATTAAAACATCTGCTTGGGGAGCAAAGGCTCTCAGAGTGAGAGGTATACCCCACAACAGACCCTCCTTGTCTTTTCATTCAGGATAAGGTGGAGGAAGTACCCAGGTGGGTTGTCTGATTTGAGCCTGTTGAGAAAGATAGGATCTGCCCACCTGAACACAGCTTGCCCTCAACACCTCTCACAGGTATTACTGGCCAGTAATAGCAGAAGAAACCCAAGACAGCCATATGCAATAATCAACCTAATCTTTCACATCGTAAATATGAACAATGAAGAAACATGTTACCTAAAACATTAACAACACAAAAACAGAAACATCAAAATGAATGAAAAACAATTGAATCAGGAGAAAAATAGATAGTTCCAGTAAGAGAAGGGAACTTTAAAATAACTCGTATTAGTATTCTAAGAAAGATTCATGAACATATTCCTTCATAAACAAGAACAAACTAATATGCAAAAAGTGAATAACAGAGTAAGTAAAAGTCTATGAAAATTAAGAATACAATTACCGAAGTTAAGAAAAAAATAATTCGTAGTTGAATTGGAAAAAAACAAGCCTCCCAAAATATAAAGCAATAAAAAAGATGATAAATATAAAATATAAATCCAACAGGTCCAACATCCATCTAAGGAATGTCTTTAATGACAAAGAGTAAAGGTAATCGAGGGGAAGAAATAATTATACAATGGAAAATATCTCTAGAGCCCAAGATATGACTCTTCAAATAAAAGGGTTCATTCAGTAAATGTGGTTTTATTTAAAAGAACCCATAAACACGTCCTCATTAAATGTCAGACCATCTCAAGAGGTACTCCTTCTCCACTTTTCTCTGGATCTTCTGCTTCTCCTTGACTTCCAAATTGTGTGAACCAGGATTCAGTATTTTTGCTTCTTCTCTTTGTCTCTTTTATACTTCACTCATTTACTATTGTCTCATCTAGACTCATTATTTTGAAAGTCATCTATGTCTTGGTAACTCCCAATTTTACATTTTTATTTCCAACCTCTCCCTCAAATTCCTGACATCAAATCAATTTCCTTCCTGTAGTCTAACATACACTTCAAAAAATGACTAAAGTAGAACTTTTACCTCAATCCCTACTTCAAATTGCTCATCTCCCAGTCTTCCCCATCTCAGTACGCAGCAACACCATTAATTCAGTAGCTCAGGCCATAAAACCACAAGACATGCTTAACTCCTCACTTCCTCATTCTGTGCATACAACCCATCAGCAAAGCCAACATCTACCAGAAGTTTGAAAGAAAGATGTGTTCAAAAGGAGTATTAATTTCCTAAGACTCTTGTGAAACTGCATTTTCTCTCTCTCTCTTACCCTTCACAATTGTTTATATTAATTATATGTCTTATTCAAAACAACACATTCTTTAAGAACATGAAAATACATCTCCTTGTGTATGGTATAAACACTGTAAGTTCTACAGTAAATAACACTACATAATATTTTAAATGTTGGCAATTGCTTTTAAATTTTAAATAATCAGTGTGAAAGACATTTACATTTACTAAGTTTAATGTAAATTCTACAAGCTTTGAAATTATAAAACTAATTTAAAAGCAGGAGTTAGTAGGTGGAAGTAGATGTGGAAAAAACTACAGGGACAAAAAAAAAAAAAATCTCTGCTCTTACAATGTAGGATACCAGGAGACACTGTGAACAATTGATGGGTCAAGACAGAATTTGTATGATGGAAGTAACAATGAAACTTTTCAAAATATGCCTGATAGGGACTGGAGTGGGGAGAGAGGACAAGTATGAGAGAGGTCAATTTCTTATGTGTAACAGAGGGGAATTAATAGCTATTTTTAAACTGGTACATTAACAAGCAAAGTATATGCACATTGTTTAAGATTTGGATTTAATCTCCAGAAAAACTAACCAGAAAGTGGTTAAAAATAATCACTTCTGATGAATGGGAAAGGAGAAAGGATAATGAGCCTTAGTTTTTATTTAGCAACCTCTTTCAGTGTTGGAATTTTTATTATGGCATATAGTCCTGGTTCAGGAATTAAATGAACAAATAAATCAAAATATTAACAAATAATAAAGCAGATAATCACATACAATCTAGTTCTGTCTGTATTTTCACCATGTTTATTTGAATAAGATTTTATAAGGAAATACCAATTTTTGTTTCACTGGTAGTCAGTAGCATAAAGGATACAAATACTAATTTAGGCTATTTTACAGCAGTTTTTATTTCTAATGCACTACATAAGTAGAGAGATTGGTTAGTTACTATGTGGTCAAAATATGTTGATGTCAGGGTATGCATTTAATTTAAAAAATTCTATTAAAAAATCCTCCACATCTACACCCAGAAGAGCTCAGACACTGATTCACTCTAATTATCTCCTCAAAGTCCTACAGGTCTACAGACTCCTCCAAAGTGAGACACTGCAGTTTTGAACACAGTAAATATTTCCATTGTCCTAATGCTACCTCTTGTCCTACTTCTATGGTTATAAACACAGCACTATTTTTACCTTGAATAATGCATGGCTTGATGGCCTGAAATATTAAAATAGAAGTCTGTTGTGTGCTTCATTTCATTGGTGTGCCCAGTGGCCTCAATCCAGTGTCCTATTGGAAGACAATAAACACCATCCACCAAGTTGCTTTCATTGTAAGTACAGCAACGGTCATGATGAGGTCCATTGCCTAGAACCAGAAGAAATGACAAACAGAGCAATTAAATCAGTGTTTTGCTTAAACACCCTCAAAGTTGCTGATACAAAATTAATAGCAAGAAGAATATAAGCATAAAGCTGCTTAATGCATTAATCTCGGTATAAACAAAAAAGACTAGGGTGAAAGACGGAACAGTGGGAATTTGTAAAGAGTTACTTATGAAAATCAGAGTTTTTTACTACCTTTGAGTACATGGGTTATAAAAAGCATGTTAACTCGTTCAGAGCTTCATGGTACCTCTTGGTGCTCTAAGAGGCCATTATGAATCATTTTGCAGCCTGAGAAGCTCCTACAAAAAGTTTTTAAAGTTATTAGTGCCCATGTATTATACACTTCTATCTTTCTGGTATGTAAATTTATGACTAAAATTAGAAATAAAGTGTTTTAGTATCAGCTCAACCAAAAAATGCATAAATATAAATAAATGCATTAACAAGCAATAAAACAAGTGATCACATCCAATCTACTTTACAGGTAAAACAGTTATTATTTTCAAATGAGGAAACTAAATCTTACAGGGATTAACTAGTTCACCCAAGGTCACAGAACTAGTAGTGCGGAACTAGTAGCAAACTGCCCCTCCTAGTCCCCCACCTTTTGGGTGCCTGATGCCTTTGTGCTGCTCCCTGCTGATGTCATATGCACAAAGATACACCCATCTTCCTTCCAGGGCCATGCATCAAAGGAAGCAGAGACATATCTCTGAAAATATTATTTGCCCATTTCATGATTCTGTCCAGTATCAATTACACTAGTTCCTATGGTATGAATGTTTTTGTCCCCTGCAAAATTTATATGTTGAAATCCTAACACCCAAAGTGTTGGTATTAGGAGCTGGGCCTTCAGGAGATGATTAGGTCATGAAGAAGAACCCTCACAAATGCAATTACTTCCCTTGTAAAAGAGGGCTGAAAGAAACCCCTCTCTCCCTTCCACCATGTGAGGATACAGCAAGTGGTCACCATCTATGAACCAGAAAGTGAGCGTTCACCAATCACTGAATCTGTTATGCCTAGATCTTAGGATCCTGAGCCTCCAGAACTGTGAGCAATAAATTTCTATTGCTTATAAGCTAACCAATAGCTTATAAACTATAGGTTGCAGCACCCCAAATGGTCTTAGATACTAGTAAACCTTGGTTTCTATAAAAATTATAATTCATACATTATTTTGTTACCTTTTTTATTACCCCATTTCAAATAATGCCTTTCTTTGTACTACCTACTTATAATATACTGTAAGAAAAATATATAAGCAAACTAAATGCATGAGTGGTTTATAGAAATAAATCACATTTGTTATGAATACAAAAATGTTATTCATTTGTTTTTGCTCCTTGCTGTCTTACAAAATATTTAACCCAAATTTTCTTAGCATAAACTCTCAAAAAGTCCTTAAATTATTTGGTGTTTCTTTGAGATATAACTCCTTCCAACAGACAGAAGGTGCAGGATGACTCCCTTAATAAATCATTACTGATCTTCTTAGATCAATCTCCTCTTTTTGCTCTTAATGGATTTTTTTCTTGACGACTACAAGGCACTGCAGCAAATCTCTATTAACCTTCATATTTAATAGATAAAAACCAAACTATACTAGAAACCTCACTTCTAGAAACATATCCAACAGAAATATTAATAAGAAAAAAGATGCATACAAAGATGCATGTGTATACTAATACTATTTTAATATAAAATACTATGAACCATATAAGTTTTTTCACTCTTTCACAGATATTTATTGAGACAGGTACTGTGCTAGGTCATGTTAAGAATTCCGATATTTATCATAAGAGCAATTAAAAATTTGAAATATTCTAAGCAGGCATGTAACATAACCAGATTTTATTTTGAGTATACATCTCTGGCTACAGAGTAAAAAAATAATTCAAGAACAATCAGAAGCAGAGAGTCTGTTTAAGAAACTACTATATTGGCCTAGGTAGTTGATGATGAAGCTCAGTCACAGATACTGAAAAGATTATGCAGACCACAGGACTTGGTAATTAATTGGAAAAGGAACGTGAAGATGAAAGGGGATCAATAATGACTCCTAAGCCACTAGTGAATATAATTCAATATACAGTGGTACCATTCACTGAGATGTAAAATCTGAAAGAGGCTGGAAGGAAAGATCATGCATCTAGTTTTGGCAATGTTGGATTTGGAGTTCTCTTTAGATATCCAAAAGGAGTTGTCAAGCAGAGTTGGAGTTATTGATTTGACACTAAGACCAGAAATCTGAACTAGAAAAGTAAATATATGAGTAATTTGAGTGTAAATGGTAATTGAAATAGGAACATAGATGAGTCACAAAGATAAACAATAGTAATTGCGAAAAAAGTTCTAGAACGAAGTCTGAACATCTTTCAATGTTTTATAGCCAGAGAGAGAAGGATAAACTTACAAAATATGAATAGAAAGAGAAGCTGGAAAATAAATATAGGCGTGACTAAGTGAAGTGGCAGAGCATGACTGAAAGTGTAAACATAGACTACAAACTGGGTGGATGCATATCGGACTGCTAACAGTGGTTATTTCTAAAAAATGGAACTGGATCGAGGGGAACTACCATACTCAACTGTTTTGAGGTGACTGGATTAGTTACTAGGAGCAGGTGTTACTTTTTAGTTTAATGAAAGAATATCTATGGCTCCCATTAGTCAGTACAGTTGACTTACAACAACAGAATTACCTATTAAAAATATAATTATTGAAGAGCTCAAATATTCATTAATTATAATGGTCAAGAACAATTATTTATGTATCATCATCTTCTTAAGAATTCTTCTTTCCTAGAATGATTTTTTAAATTACAGATTTTTACACATTTGTGCTTTAGGCAACACTTTAAAAAGTTTTTCAAAGATAGTAACCTGAATTATTATGTTCTAATAGTTAAAATGCCTTTTAGAGGATGGGTTATTGTTTCTTTAATTTCACCTAATGAAATGGCAAAAATGAACAGTGAAATCATTTTGGTTTTGGAGATTTCTGCATTTAGAACTATAGAATAAATGTACTTTTCCCTAGTCCTTTTAAACCCTGAAAATTATAAATAAACAAACATAAGATAACTTTGAAAGGCAAAGAGAAGACAGACCATCCATGGACACTGGGACCTAAGGAATGACCTAAGTATTGAGTTCCCTCCATTTTCTTTTTGCCTTATATATCCCAGAGTTAGATGTGAAGAAGCCAGTGACCTGATAACATAAGGACAGCCAAAAGAAAACATGACAAAAGTCCACTCTCTCTAGCCAAATGAAAAGACAAGTCTAGCCAGACAGAAATCTGTTTGATAATAACTACTCTACTCCAGTCAAACCCACTGAAAAAATATGGCCCCATACCCACTCAGGCCAGCAAAGACCAAGCAGGGAGGCAGACTTCCACTTTTGTTTGCCGAGCTGTATTGCAGCACCTCAGCCCACTCACTATCATGGTGTCAGAGAAGGATGAGTAGAGGTCTGAGACTTTCAGCATCACCCTTGGCAATGTCGTGGAGTCCAAGTGGAAAGGTGGACTTCCACCTCCATTTACCAGTAACAAAGTGCCCCTCCTCCTTCCCACTGAGTTCGTTTCAAAGGTAACCAAGTGGGAAGTCAAGACTCTCACCTCCTTCCCACCCCACCATCAGTGGATGCCATGTGGGAAGCAGTGACAAGGCATTCCTCCCTCTCTCAGACAGGGAGCTATCAATGGAGGCCTATCGGAGAGCTGGAACTACCATCCACTCAGGGAGGAGTCTGTTTGGTTTGGTTATCAATGGAAACAGTGTGAAGTACCTGAGTAATAAGGTGGAACCTCCATTCTTCTGCTGGAGTGGTGTCAGAAGAATTTGGCTAAAATCGAAGGTTTACATAAGGGCTAGCCTCATTATATAATACCCAAAATGTCCAGGTTTCAATAGAATGTCACTCATCATATGAATAAACACTAAGATCTCAAACTGAATGGAAAAAAAAGAAAGATGCCTGATAAATGCCAACAGCAAGAGAACAATGATGTTAGAATTATCTATAAAGATTTTAAAGCCTCAATAACCCATTAGAACACATTTCAAATAAATGAATAAGAACATCTCAGCAAAGGAATAGAAGATGAAAAGAGGAATTAAATGGTAATTTTAGAACTAAAAAACACAATATTTGAAATTTTAAAAGCTCAATAGATGAGTTTAAGAACGAACTGTAAGAGACAGAGGAAAGAATTCACAAACTTCAAGACAGAACCATGGAAATTATCCAATTCTAACAGCAAACAACAGAAAAAGTAGGCTTAATTTTAAAAAAGGAAAAAAAAACAGAGCCTTAGGGACTTGTGGTACTGTTAACAGAAGATCTAAATGTATGTAACTGGAGTCTTGAAAGAAGAGAGAAAAGGCAGTAGGGCTGAAAAGTACTTGAGAAAATAAGGCCTGGAAACTTTTCAAATTTGGCAAAAGGCAAAACCTACAAATTCAAGGTGAGCAAATTCCAAACAACATAAACCCAAAGAAATCAATACTGACACATGACATATTTGGACTTCTGAAAACTAAAGACAGAGAAAATAAAAAAAATAGCCAGAGAAAAACAGAAATATAAGGGGAAAATATTCTAATATGAGCAGATTTCTCATCAGAAGTCAGAGAGGCCAAAGGAAGTGGTATTTTTCAAGTGCTAAAAAAAGAACAATTGTCACCTAAGAATATTATACTTTGTGAATATTTCCTTCAGGAAAAAAGGGAAAATCAAAACATGCTCAATGAAGAAAAACTAAGAGAATTTTGCCAGCTGAATTATCTTAAAAATGACTAACAGAAGATATTTAAACAAAAAGGAACTCTTTGAAAACAGGAAGAATGAACACAGTAAACAAAAACATAAGTAAATAAGCAAACATTCTAACACTATCTGATGTGGTTCTACATGTAAGTAGATGAAATATTTAAGGCAATTATATTGCAAATTAGGAAAGGCAAAGGAA